TTTCCAAATTTTTTTGTTTTTTTATTTTTTTCCTTTTTGTTTAAGTGTTCATATTAAAGGCATCCTTCTTGCCATTTGACCATAAGTACGTCATTTTTGTTGCGCCAGCAGTACATATATAAAATACGTAACAGTAAGATATAGTAACCATACCTCTTTTCATCCAAACTGAGGAGTAACTTAATAGAAGAAGGAAAACACCAACCAATAGTCTCATGTTATGTAAATTGAAGAAATTCCCAAAATGAGCGATAAATCCAGGAGAAGTAACTTAAACGATCAGTACCCACACCGCGTACCCGCATCACTTGCATAATAATTTTGCCCTTTAAAGAAACGCACAAATGGAGTCACATATATATAAGCATGTGCCGCTTTAATTCCCCACACTTTTTCCACTCCCTTTTTTCTTAGCCTTTCTTTTTGGAATCACTGCTATGCTAATATTTTTCTCATTCGCTGCACTACAGTCCCAAAGATATATGTGGTACAACATACATTTTAATCATTAACGGAAAGAGGGAAAAAATAGAAAAAGCCTCGCAATTTTTTTCTTTTTTTTTTTTGCCCCCCGCTCAGGATATTCGCAAGTATATGTGCATCCTTACTGCTAATAATCGACTTGATGTTTTTTGGCGTTGATAAATTTAACTACGATCCATTTTACTCGTAATGACATAAAATGAATGCGTGTACATTCGTATATAATTGATGTTCGAGAAGGAGAAGGGGTGCTGAAATGGGCCACATGAGAGTGTACCCATGTGCACTTATATGTGTACGTGACCAAAATGGGTACAACATAGTTCTGTTCATGTGGTCTTTCAAAATAGTCATTTAAAAAAAAGAAAAAAATTACAAAGTGAGAAAGAACGCCCCGTTTGAGTGGCAAAGAAGCGCACATGTCTCACAACAGAGAGAGGCACCATTTGTAAAATGGGGGTGGGGGATATCTTACACTCTTACCCCCTTATTTGTAAAAAAACACCAAATTGTTCTCACTCACACGGTGCGTACGTTACTCTTTTTTTTTTAGCAACTGGGAGAAAAAGCATTTGTGAGAGGGACATACGAAGCTGGCTGTAGTTGACGTGCGACGCACGGTGGAGTCACGCCCTTGTACGCGAAATGAACACTATTAGCAGTAAGTTGTAAAAACATGTGTCACACAACTTAGTACCATACTATATGATAGAGTACAGCACATTACAGCATAACATATAGTACTCCTATGTTGTACGATTTCCCTTTTTTAAGTTTTATTTTTAATTCATTTCATGTAGCCCTTTTTTATTTTGTTTTTTTTTCCTCCGCGGAATGCGTTTTTTTTTTATGTCGCTGCTTTAACGAAAATCGTTTTTTCTTAATGCTTTGATAATACTAAAAAGGATGTATGTTGGAATGTCGTGTGGGTGAACACACATAAAGAGTGAAACGTACGAAATGTGCGAAACGGGCGAAACATCGAAGGGACTTGAAGCCCAGCAAAGAATGTCATTCTGTAAAATTTTTCCATTTATGGCGAACGGAAGTGCGGTCGAATAAAACTTTTCGCAAAGCTGGTACACGCAACTGACACAATCGCTCAGTTTCAATGCTTTGTGTTTCCTTTTTTTCCTTGCAACTCCCCCAAGGGGGTAACCTTTTTAAAGTAAACGTAATTGCAAACAGAACTGCAAATGTGAGCAAAGACACCCACCGTGGCGTCATTTATGTCGAGAAGTAGACTGCGCAGAAGCCAGTACTCTCGCGTTTAGTGAATAACCTGTGTTGTCACCTCTTCGCATAATGTCTTACTTAAAATGCGTGGGGTAATTTGCAACAAGTGATCTGCGTTAATGAAATGTTAATGCGTAAATCGTTGTGGAGGAAGGGCTCGTCATTTTCTGTGGCAACTTTTACCCATGTATTATTCTCTATCATTGTGTATGTTTTTTTTTTTTTTTTTTTTTTTTTTCATTTCCATGTATGCCTTTTGGCAATAGTTTTTCTTTCCTTCAATTTACGAGCACCTTGGCTACCACGTTCGTCACACCCAGTTTCATCTCATTCGTGCTGATCAAGTGAAGTTTAATTTCCTCCCGTTCTCGCATGACAGCTATTTTAATTCCCTTGTATTTCCTCACATTTCCTTGTGTTTTCCTCCACTTTATGATGTATTTCCCATTTCGCCATTTTTAAATAACGCCAAAGAGAAATATTCACCACTTTTTAATTTCACCTTGGACAATATATGCGGGCCAAAAAAAAATAAAAAATATATGTATGCATGTATGTATGTATATATATATACATATGTGTGCAAAAAGGATCCATCGTTTTCCCAGAGGGGAATGCAAAAACGCTATGCTGAACAATTTTTTCAATTTCTTAAAGAGTCCACCGAGTGTATATCTTCCCGCTTTACCACACCATTGTTAACTTGTGCGGGCGTTTCGAATCCTGGCAGATTCTGACGAAAAACATAGCCCTGAAAATACGGGTACGCGATTAATTCAGTATTTTCCCCGCACAGGTGTATGTGCAGGTGTTTCCGCAGGCGTATTCTACGTGTCGTTCGTTTGCATGTTGCCCATTTACGTGCCGCCTCTCCCCATTACACCTTTTAAACCCTTGTAATTCATGCCGAAAACCTTCGTGCATCCCTATTTTTGCCATTTTTAATTTTTACGAGTGTTCAGTACATCCCCCCGTTGACCCCCTCCATGTCTGAGTTGCGGGGGAATTTCAGCAGCATTCACTTGGCTGTGAAATACTGTCCCTCGGCTGCACAGTGTCGGCGTTGGAACTATCGAGCTGTTTCGTCGCCACACCGCTGCTGCCCCTTGTGCGTGTTTACACCTCCCCCGCGCGCATAAATAATGTTCCAGAAAGACATCCAAGAGTCTTATATAAAGAACTGCTTCAAAAATATCTACATTGTAAAAAGACACCATGCAGATGGCAACGTCGAGGAGAAAAAGAGCTGCGTTCTGTACAAGAACATCGATGAGTTTGTCCGTGTCCTCATACAGATAAGAAAATACGACAAGGAATTTAAAAAGATAAACGTTGGAAAACATGGATCGGATGTTGCAGCGACTTTACAAGAATATCTGGACTTTTACGTAGGCCAGTTTGGGCACAAATTCCATTCGTTCATTTTGGAATATAAGAACAGTCAGGTGAAGGATGATGTGAAAAATCATTACATCATAAAAAAACTGACCAAAAGTGACATTGAAAAAGTGGCAAACAATTCCTACGCACGGGTCATGTTCATGTATGACAGTGTAAAATATTTAATTTACTACATAAAGAAAAGGATTGCAAAAATCAGAGAAATTAATGAGAGTTTTGTGAAACTCCTGATGAGCTACTTGCGAATCTCTCTCAACCCACTGGATCTGATCGCCCATGTGTACTTAAGTGGGTACAGGGGTGTATCCTCCCCCGATCAGTCGAAGAAAAAGAATCTTCCCAATGGGATCAGCCAAATTGGACCCACCTCGGCGTGGAAGAAAATGTCACCCATAAAAGACCACCCCGTGGTAGACTCTCCCCCAAAGGATCACTTCTTCTGCAACGAACTGTGCCAATTTGTGTGCGCTTACGGGGAGTACATCATAAAGCACACCATAAGTAGCAGCTACGTAGAACTGCTCAGCAGGCATGAAATTATCAAGTCCAAATTGAGCATATACGAGTCGGCTAAAAGACATATTAGAAATCACATAATGAAGAAAATATGCTCCCATTCCCATTTTAAGAACTGTAATTTAAGTGCCCAATTTGATCATGATACCATTTTCAATGCGCACGAAGAGGCTCTAATTAAGTTCCAAAAAATATTTAAAAGGTTCACGCAAGTTGGTAGTGGCTATAAAAATGTGAGCATGTCGCACAGAGACTTTTCATACATTTATGAACTTGTGCTGGCAGTATACTTAGTGAAAAAGTGCCTCTTTCATTTGAACGAAAATATAGACACAGTTCTTCAAGTAGCCCTCTACACTCTGTACAGCTCCGCAAAAGTGACCATCATTTATTTGTATTTCAATCTGCCGAAGCACATGGCTCATTACTTTCTAAACGTGTATCTTCTCTTCTTTAAAAGTAAGAAAAAAAATAGTGAAGATCAAAGCCAGGGAAAGAAAATCGCACATATTATGAACAGAATGAGGAGAACGTACAGAAACGTCCTGCAGTATGTTGTCAAGCGGGAAAAGGGATGCAGCGAAGGTGAGGAATGCACCCAAGAAGGGATCCCAACAGGAGAAACCCCTTACGAAGTTACCCCACTCGGAGGAAAAATCAAAATGTCGGAAAGAAAACGGTACAGGAAGATCCTCAACTTATTGTACTTCCAAATGGACAGTTATGGCAAAAAATTGGCCAACCAAAAAAGCAAGAGAGAAGTGAATAAATTTGTCGCTCTTCACATGAATGGGTCTGTCATACAGCTCAAGTATAACTACGAGGTTCTTCTAAGAGAAAAGAAAAAGTGCAAAAAGAAGACACTTCCAGAAGTGAGCCCCACAAAGACGGTAAAAGGTAGACAATCCATGATACATCAAAACGGTACAGTATCTTCCCCAAAAAAACGAGCGAACTTTGTACACCCAGACAAAATCGAATACATGAAGAGGTATGCCCCGCTATACAGGACCAAATGCAGAAGCAACGCAAAAGGAGGAAAGAACGCTGATCGGAATAGATCTGTATATATACAGACAAACACAGTGAACTACTCCATGCACAATCGGGTCATATACAACTACCGTGATGGTGATACCTACGCTAGGAAGGAAAAAAAAAGTGAAAATGAAAGAGAAGTAACCTTCTACAAAGAGAACAGGAATTCGGAGAAAAACATCATAGGGAAATTATTCCACTGTGTGTTAAAAAATTTACGAAAGGGGAATCAATTCGTCCCAAGCAACACTCGGGAGATTAGTACCGTCAACTCATTTGACGATTATGCAGAGAGAAATCAAAACGAACGTAACGATTATGAAGATAGCCATTTGAGCGTCCCCAGTGAAGAGATTTCCAAGGTCGATGGATCTATTAGCTGTCCTGTTCGGACGATTCTTAATGAACACGAAAAGGGTGGAGAGACTCCGGATTCGTGTTACTTATCCAGGAACGGCTCCATACAGAGTCAAGGCAAAGTGGAGTGTCAACTCCTATCCCAAAGGAGACTTGATAAAAGCAAATACGAAATATATTCCGTCCAAACGGTGAGCAGCAAGGAAATCCAGGAGGGTGGAGAAGTAACGGAGGAAGTGGGTAGCGAAGATGGAGACACACACCCTAAAGAAGTGGACAACACAGTTAAGAGGCAGGATGATGAGATTGCATACAGCTACTTCGATCCATCCGTTGGGAAAACGAATAGCAATGTAGAGAAATCATCCCAAGAAAGGCGTGACAAACACAGGAAGAAGCGCGAAGCGAATGAGGAGGTTCAAAATGGAGAAATCTCTCCTCCAGAGAAAATCCAAAACGAAATTGAAAAAAACGCATATGAGAAAAAGGCTGGTGAGCCCCCTAGACACGGCTCCAAAACCGAGGGACACACTGAAGAGGACACATCCGATAAGGAGTCGCCCGAAAAGGGAAAACAGAGTGATGACTCCCCAGGAACATGCTCACCAGAGAATATAACCCATGCCGATTTGCAGTTAAAAAAAGAAAACAAGCGCAGAACACAGGGAAAATATAAGATGTACTTTTCGAACGAGTCCGCCACGATAGATGTGTCGTCGGATGATTATAACCCGTACAGGACAACGAAGAGAAAGGGACAAAGGAGACGGAGGAAGGCCCCGGCGAGGGGAAAGAGAAACACGAGCCGAAAGACGAGTGAAAAGACAGAGAATAAAGAAAAATCGGACGAACGGACAAAGGGGAAGGAAAAGGAGAGAAAATCCAGGAAGAGAAAAACGGAACAGGCGCCAAAAACACACACGGGTAAAACCAAAAAAAGAAAAAGGTCTCAAGTCACTGACGAGGAAGCCGTTAAAACGAAAAAGGGGAAGTCCAACCATTTATGCAGTTATCCTTCGGTGAAGTCCGATCATTCGAAGTCAAACGAAGTGGTGGAACAGGAGGAAAAAAGCTGTAATATAGAGACCGTCGCGCGTAAGGAGTCCAGGGAAAGAAAAACTAAGACTGCAACCGAGGAACACGCGATAGCCACCAATGGTGAGCACTACCCAGGTGAGCATAAACGAGGGTGCAAGAAAGAATCACAGATGAGCGAAGCTAAGCCACCAACAACTGACGATACGTCAATTCCCGGCAGTGCGAGAAAACTAATCTTTAACGTGTCCCTGGATGTCAGCGAAGGGGGAGAAGAATGCACACCGTGTAAATATGAATTTGGTGAGAAGGCCAACTGGGGTTCCAATGGGCCGAAAGGGAAGACGCCCATTTGTGTTGACCTCGAGGGGAGTGACAACGGTGACATTCGTGACGATCATGACAATTGTGATGTCCTCCTACTGAGTGAGCATAATCCTTTAAGGAATAAACTGAACGAATCGCGAAGCGTGGCACACGTACACGGGAAAAAAGACAAAACGGATGAACAGGCGGATAAACGCCTAGATGAACCCCTTCGGATAAACACGGAGATGCCCCAATTCGACATGCCATTCATGTCCACACGAGAAGTGTACATAAACGAAAGAGTATGCGATATTGTGAAAGACACAGAAGAGAGACTAAAGTTAATTGTAATTCACTTGTTCAGTTACTACATAATCGGAGGTATATTTCTAATAAACCCATACAATAGTGCCCAAAAAGAAAGGTACAGAAACTTCACCAGCATAGAAGAAAATATTAACGACATAGAATACATCAAGATATTTAAGTATAGTAGCCACCAACTTATTGTTGGAACTATTAGGAAGAATACAAAGGTGTCTTTGCTGGGTGGTGGAGGCTCCAAAAGAGTAATGACAATTTTGAATAGACAGGGCAAAGGATTAAATGGTGCCACCTACAAATGTACAATTAATAACACATTGCATGTATGCAAAATTCAGCAAAGGTTATATTTGGCGAAGAAAGAAATATTTTTCTCCTACATTTTGAAGACGAGAAAAATGCTGAAGCATAGGAAGTATTCCGGGGAGCGTAAGGGAACTATTGTCCCTAGGGGGTGGAATGGAACTGAGATGAGAAGTGAATATAGCCGCCAAGAAAGCGGCCTACGCGGCATGAGCAGGAGCGGCGAGGTCTTCTTCGAAGTTTACGCCAAGGGAAATTTGTACATCTTCCCCGACGAGATGCACTACAACGTGCATAAGGTGGAGGACAACTCGGAAAAAGATGCGCGCGGAGCGGGAGGGCAGCTAAAGGGAGCCAGAACAAGAGGCAACAGAGGAGGCAGCGGGGCAGGGAAAAGAAGAGGAAAAAGAGGAGTCAAGCGGAGGGGCATAAGAGGAGCCAAGCATAACGCAGAGGGAAGAAGCGAGGGTCAAAGGGAGGCCCAAAGAGAGGGCCAAAGCGAGGACAAAGGCGAACACAATAGTGAGCGCAGGAGCCAGGGCCAACGCGAAAAGCACAGCTCGGAAAAGGGCACATCCCTTCTGATCATGGGGACGCACAAACACGTGACCTCGCTCAATGAACTCATAAACACATTCATCAGAAAGGGACACCAAGCCATAAACGAAGAGCTGGTATTGTTCATCGTGTACCACTTGATCGTGGCCCTGTTGCAGCTGCACGTGCTGGATGTGCTCCACGGAGATGTCAAAATAGACAACATTTTAGTTGCGAAGGACCAGGAACTTCTGCTCCAGATGGAGAGAACTAAGGAGAATATCACGAGGGAGCCTCCCCGCACTTGCAAGAGGGAGATGAAGGAGGAATCCAAGAGGAAGAGGAGGCCTCACAGAGAAGGCAATAGCGGTAGCAGCGTTCGGGGTGGTAGAAGCCGCAACAATAGTGGCACTCGCAGCGTCCGAGGTGGTAGCAGCCGTAGCAGTAGTGGCATTCGCAGCATTCGTGGTGGTAGAAGCCGTAGCAATAGTGGCACTCGCAGCATTCGTGGTGGTAGCAACCGTAGCAGTAGTAACCCCTTCGTGTGCGAATACATGCTGAACGTGAAGGGAGGCAGCAACCCGAACTCCTTCCTGAGAAACAAATTCCCACTGAACGTATTGCTAATCGACATCGGCAGAGGAATTGACGTAAAAAATTTTAGGAACTATCTCTTCTATGGAGAAAAAAACTGCGATTGTTATAATTTCCTGTCTGATTCTATTTTTACCTACCACATAGACTTTATAGGCATCGCGCAAGTGGCTAGCTGCCTATTATACTACAAGCACTTGGGCAGCACAAAATATAAATACGATGGGAGCATAATGGATCAAAACTATGCCACCATTAACAATCTCAATTTGACCTACATGACGCACAACAATAACTTTACGAAGAATAGCAGCGCCCCTGTTAGGAGGAAGAGGAGGCACCCTCGTAATGATAAGAGAAAAAGTAGGTGCAAGGAGATCGAAAGTTTTATAAAGGTGAAGGAGCGCGCGTATACGGAGGATGAGGAGAAACAAGATGAGGGGTGTACCGACCAAAGTGCCAGCCTCGAGGGAGGGAAGCACACGGGGAAGAGTTCTCGCCGTGCAGCGAATAGCTCCCACCGTACAGAGAATACTCCACACCGTGCCGCCAATAGTCCGCATCCCGTGGGACGCCTCCAACGAAGCCTTAACTATGCAGGGAACAAACAAAGCGAATCAAACAAGAGGACCAGACGAGCCGCCAGAAGGAGCACCGCGGCAGAAAGCACCCACTTTATAGATTACTCAAAAAATATCCCCATGGATGACCGCGATAGAAAAAAAATAGACGGGTACATTGACGAAATGAAGAAGAATAACGAAAATTACTACATCGAACGGGAAGAAGAAAGCAAAATAAAAAACTTTTCCGTCAAATTACTATCCACGAGAAAAAGGTATATCGAATTTTGGGAAATTTTTTTTCATCTTTTGTTAAACTTTTGCAATGTGTACGAATTGAGCTCCGTTAATTACAACACCAAGGACATGGGCACGAATTTTGAGAAGGCAAATTTGTTCCATCACAAGGTGATGAATAAAACGGAAAATTACTACTTCGACTTTTGCAAAAATAACTGGGAGGAGGTTCCACAAGGGGACCAACAGAACAAAGGTACTCACATGAAGGAGAAGCTCAATGGGCTTCTTAAAAATAATGATAATTTGCATACACGTAGAGGCAAAGCTGTCTGCTCTAATGGGGACAGTCACAAGGACAGTGTAGTTATGGACAGCAACCATACGGATGAGGCGAAGGATGAGATGGGTAAGCTATGCCATCACGACAACACCAGCACCGATGATAGGAGCAACTCATGTTCGATGCAAAACAGGCGCTGTGATGATGAGAAAGAGGCGCTAGAAGAGCAGCAAAAGAAGCAGACCAATGAGGAACCACACAAAGATAATACACACCAAGTGGACAAAACTAACGCAGAAAGGGAAATCACAAAAGGGGCTGTTTTAGACAAAAAAAATCAACAAACGAATGGAGACCAACCCAAAAGTAATAGTAAATATTTTTTTATAAAAAACTCCATTTCGAATTTAAAAAATATAAAAAAAAAAATGCATAAAGTGAAGCACAAAATAGAAAGGGACAAATTGGAGGCCAGTCACAACAAGGGAAAAAACGACTCCTCCAACTTCTCTGGAAAAGAAGAAAATGTTCGCTTGAAAAGAAAAATGATATTCTTTGAGAATGAACAGAATAGACAAAAGTGTAGGAAACTGAATGACCAGAAGTACTACGCAAAGGAGTGCCGCGCGAACGACACTAGGAGGTTGACTAGGTATGTTAACAAGCTAATGAAGAAGAAGGCCATTTTTGTTCTCATGTTTTTAAAAAGGGCAATTGAAAAAATATTTGATGATGACAGGAGTAGGCAGGAAATTTTGCTCAGCGAGATTAAAAACGCGGCCGCTTTTTTTTGAGCCACGGGTGGGCCCTTCCACTGGTCTTGCAAGTCGTGTGTTGCCTCCATTTCGCCAAAAGGGGACCTAAATATGTGCCTCTGCCCAGTCCCTCGGCTCAGCTGTTGTGGCGTTATGCTATATATACTTATCTAAGCGATTCCTCGCGTGTAGGAAAACCTTATTCCCATAGCTTTGCACAGGCACAGGAGGGGGGGAGGGGGTGCATACTCGCTTCCTACATGCATGTGCATGTGAACCCCGTTGCTGCAACCCCCTCTCTGCCACCCTTCCGACGCCTCATGGTGCAGCAGCACTTGTCCAGCCCATACACGACCTGTGCTGTGGGCATATCACTTTTTAACAGTCACTTTCCCCATTTTGTTTTACGTTTTACGCTTTTACGTTTCAGGCTTTATGTTTTATTGCTTTATGTTTTTTTATTGTATTATCTTATTATTTTATTATTATTTTTTTTTGAAGCCCACTGAAATTCAATTTATGATGAAATTGCACGGGCACAGCCACCTCCAGAGCAAATCCATGTTTTTGTTTTTTATGCTGTTATTATTTTCCCCCATTGTTTTCCCCTTTTCCTCACCTCTTTTTAACCTCCTTACCATTTCCGTTATCTCGTGCGAGTAAAACGGAAGGGAAGGAGTGCTCGTAGTGACCTCACGTAGTGGCCCCAATGGTGGCCTAACTTGTAGTACCTCCAGCAGTTGCGCAAGCAATTAACACGGCTTCGCTTTGCGACACATCGCGACAGGTCGCGTCGGTTTGCTTCGTTTCTCTATCAACCTTATAGGCCCTCCTGAGCACACACCCCTCCCTTCCGCGCGGGAGTGAATTCGTTCCTGAGGACCATTCGTCGTTGTGCTGTTTCTAAGAAATAAAACATTTTATCAAAGCTGGCTGACCTTCCCGAGGGAATGCTCCAGCCACACCGTATTATATATACACGTATACACTTATTTATATATGTATCTACTTTGGTGCCACCCGCGCGGCCTTGCGTTTCATACCCCCTTGGCGTTACTTTCTCCCGTAAGGGGAGCGGCAGGAAAGCATTCCGGAAGAGGTTTACACGCAATGCAGTTACAAATCAGTTCGTTAAGATAACCGAGGGGGGGCGAGCCAGTCGTTCTACATAACTTTTGGCCACATTTCTCACACAAAGAGGGGGATGCGATACAGCGTAGTGGTGAGAGTAACTTTTTTTTTCTTTTCCCCCCCTTGAGCGGGTTCTTTTAACAGCTCATCGAACAGGACCATTCCATGTGCATGCCAAAGATAAATATACGTCTCCCCCGACATGGGCATTTCCCCCCAACGGACATGGGCCCTTACTACCCTCCCCTCGCAAGACATCCAAAATGTACAACTTCGTAAAAATATTCCGCTCAAACTTGATAGACATAAATGCTGCAAACAAATTTGAAATTTTTTTAAAAACGATACTGCGCATTTATAAGACGCCGGCCCGAACGCACCTGCTGGCGCATGCAGCGGACATATCGGCCATATACGCGGTGAGGCAAATGTACAATTATATGAAGAACGATGAAGAGGGAAGGAGTATACTGAAAGAAAAACCGTTGCTAATACGACAGGACATACAATTTAATGAGTTAAAGAAGCTGCCAAAAAATACACTAGGATATAAGTATATGGAATTTATGGAAACGTACAAACTGCATTCACATGACAGAGAAGTATCTCATTTTTTTACAGATTTAAATTATTCCTACATTTTAACAAGATACAGACAGATCCACGATATTGGCCACGTGGTTTATAATTTAAATATATCGATCGAGTCCGAAGCAGCACTGAAATTAATTGAACTCGTGCAAACGAAATTGCCAATAACTCTGCTAGCCGTGTTAGTAGCCCCCTTAATGACGCCGCTATATCGTTTTCAATACATTTTTAAAGACTCCATTCCTTCCAATTTTCTAACCCCCAACTTCGATTTTACCTACAATGTTGGGTACAATTATCTGGACGAGTTATCCATCCAACAGTATGAGTACAATCTGACGGATTACTTTCACGTGGATAAGAGAAAAGACAGGAACTTTTACTGGAAGATGTATAAATATTACTTTGACAATATAAATAATTCTTCCGCCGTCCGAGGTTCCATCATATACGGGTTTGAAAACAAAAGCAGTAATGACATTATATATGACCATCCCAATAGGGAGTACATTTTTTTAAAAAATTTGAAAAAAAAATATCTTCTTTTTCAGTACAAGCCAAGGAAGAATTTACTACGCGAGTTGTATCCGTGGGCGTACATGGCGGGGGTGTCAACAACGAAACCGCTGCATTCTATTCATATCGAAAAATGGCTGGACAAGGACATCGACTTCTTCAGACGCACGTACAATATTTCTCCTCTCCCCGATCACTTGAATTTGATGGCTGGGATTAATTGAGAACGTTCGAGGGAAGCACATATGAAGAGAGGTAAAACAAAGTGGTGCTCACTCCCTTACGCGGGGATGCGCCACGTCGATTGGCTATTTTTTTTTCTTTCTTTTTTTTTTTTTATGTACATTTTTTTGGTCCCTACGTCTACTTTTGCACGTGTGCAATAGTGTGCGCACCTGCCACGTGGAGAAACCCCCCCAAAATGGTACCACGAACTGTGTCTTATTTTAACCAACGAGAATAAAACATATTAATGCTTCCCCCTTTTTCCCGTGAATGATAAAGTGGGATGACCTGAACAAGTGGGCTGCTCTCATCAAGTCGGCTGACCCGCGGTCACCCCCGATGAGGCGTCCCTTTTTACGTTCCTCCTGTTTAACTTAAACGTGGAAGACATCCAGCTCTTCAGTTTGTTCATTTCGACTCGTTCCATCTTCATGTTCACTCGTTTTTTGAGTCTCCTACAAAGGAAGGAAAGCAAGAGGGAAAAATGGGATTAGAAGAGACTGCCGTTCTGAACAGGAACAGAAAGATTGTGTGTGTTTCTCGAGGAAACTTCCCTCTTACAGCACAAGGAAAAATAATTAACACAGAAGGGCGTCCATGTCCTCTCATGACGAGACGCATACCTGAGCGACTTCTTCGACTTGTATACTCCCCTCCTGAGGCGCGTAGCTCTTAAACGATTTTCATAGTTATTGTACAGAATGTACATGTGCACGTCTGCCCACCTCCCGGCATTCACGCCGGTACTTTTATTCTTGTGCATCACGTTGTATATGTCCTCGGGTACGGTCATGATATATCCCCTTTTGCAGTACACATAATTTTGAACAAAAAATTTGATGTCTCCAACATTTTTTTTTAAATTCAACAAATCGTTTAAAAAAATGAAAACTCTCTCCTTAGTGTTCAACTGCGTGCTTCGCTCTACAATGAAAGTCACATTGGAAAAATCTTTTTTTTTTAAATTTTTTTTAAACAGTTTTTTTTTTTGTATATAATATAACGCTGCGGAGAGGAAGGCGTGCCCATATTTCTCATGAATTTTTTTGGCTTCTTCCAGGTGTTTACTGTCTTCAATAACGACCTCCTTAATTTCGTCAATCAGAAAGGTGAGGAAATTATCTTTTAGCTCTTTGGCGGGCGGTAGGGGGTAGCTCTTGAAGTTAAAAATCGCGTTGATTTCTTCGTATTGCTTGCGCTGCTTTTTGCTGTAGAACAGGATGGACTGGGTCACCGCAACGAGGGAAGCGTCTGGGGAGTGATAACTTCCAACAACGGCGCTAACGGCAACATCGCTAACTCCAACAGCGCTACCTGCAGCGCCCTGGGCCTCGCCCGGAACCCCCTCGAATAACGCGTCCACGTACAAATTAGGGCTCTCTTGGAAAGTGTAGTGTATATGCACATGAGCATCCACGGGGTAAGCCTTCTTTATGCTCATGTCGTCCGTGATTAGCACATATTCTCCCGTCTTGTTGAAGGTTCTCACTATGCTATTCTTGTAGTCAACTTTGTTCGAACTGGATACGAACACGCAAGGAATGTACGCATTGACAAATCCATAAAACGCGTACACGTCACTCTTATTGTAATAAATTATGATCTTTTTACCTTTTTTCTTGTTTAGAAGGTAAAACAGAACTAGGAATTTTTTGTCTTCACTCATAGGGGCGCAAATGCTGAAATGATCGCAGTTGTTCTTCCTGTACCTCCGTAGGTTGACGTAGTGGAGAGGTTTTCCCCATCGTGGGGCACCAGCTTCTGGGGTGTTTCTACCAGGGCTGTGTGGCTTATTCCCTAGGGGGTATCTCCCCTGCTCGTCGTCGTGCAAAGCACTCCCAGAGGTACGCTGGTTAAACGTCCTACCTGCGTCAACGCTGTCAATCGGGTCAATCGGGTAGACCCCACACCCGTCGCCCTCCGCAAGAATCTCATACTTTACATTCCGAGCATGCTGCAACAAGTCATTCACGACCCATTGGTCATGCGATTTATTTACTAGCAAAATCTGCAGCGCGTCCCCCCTATCTTGCTTTTCCTTACAGAGTGTTAAAATCCTTTTCACGGTACAGTCCATTTTTAACTGATACAGCTCGCTCAAATCATCAATTATGATGAAGTTCGAAAGGTCTAGCAAAACGGAGAAGTCGTATGTGGGGGGGAAGCTTTCTGCATTCAGAATGATTATATTGTACAGAAAATAATTGCATCGCACCGTTTGAATGTTCCCTTCGTTATTTATTAAGTAGGTTGACACATCTGGAGGTTTCAATTTTATTATCGTTTCATGCAGAGCGGACGTTTGTGCCTGTGATGAGGCCACGATGAGCACGGACTTGTCTGGGCATACAGAATTATTTTTTTTTCGCCTCTTCTTTGTCTTATCTTCTAGCGAAAAGGTTTTTTCTCCCTTCCCGTTAGTCGTTGCTACTCCCTCTTGTACATCCATATTAGCGGCATTTATTTTGTAAAATGAATAAACCACGTACGATACCATGCAATCAGAGTAGAGCAAACTGATTAAGATATTATTGCTCCGATTTAGCAGCTCAATCAAAGCATACTGGTATGTGTACAAATAATGGAGACCCTGTTTGGGCAAAATGTGTCTTAGGTAGCTATTGCTTATTCTGTTGACTTGCAAAATTTCTGTCATTTCCTTTCTATCGCATATTTTTCTTTTTCCATTCTGTATGTGCGTTATTTTGTTCAGGTAAAAATTGTTTCTACTTTGCGGTCTTTTCTGATTGGCTGATTTCCCCCCTTTCTGCTTCCCCCGATGGCCATTCTTAAACTCCATCAAGGTTTTACATGACGAGATGACAAATTTCTTCTTTTCACTTTTGTTGTATTTGCCGACGATAGAGCTGTAGGCGTGGCTCTCCATTTTTATTTTACCATTTCCATGGGGTGCACATGTTTGCAAAAATAATTTTAACTGCTGGTGTGCATGGCGATAGAGGACTACCCTTGGGGGGAGCATGTTAGGACGGGAGTAACTTCGGGGGAGGGATGCACGTGCTTCCGCCACTGTTCGGCGTGCGCGCCCGATCCGGATAAGTTTCCGGTCCCTTTGTGGGAAGCATCGTCACTGATTGGGTAAATGCTCTTGCAGTTATGTATACATATATATATAAGTAATTGCTTCCCTCTGCACAGCCCCCCTTCTGTGTAGTAACGCTTGCATAAACATAACCCATTCGGTAGTAGAGCACGATGAGTCACACCGTCCTGTGTGCGGCGTCGCGTTGGTGTTATGATTTAGGTGACCTCTCTTTCTTTTCCATGAATCGCCTGTTGCACGCACCCCTCGTTGCCATCCTCCCTTTAAGTTAAACTACTGCCTAATGTGGTTTCCCCGAGTGAGCTAACTTACGCTTCCGTTTCGATATTTTCGGACGCATGCTGAAGGACGTCATCTCCCAGTAAGCAAACCCAATAGTGTTGTTTGTTCTGTGTACATGAATGCATTTTTATTTTATTCTATTTTATTATTTTTTTTTCTTTAATTTTAAAATTGCAGCGGTCGTGATTCCCCTTTCTAACATCTACACTACACCATAGTGCGCAAAAAAAGTGGGCATCCTTCCAGCTTTGATTTTTGGCTTCAAATGGGGCTCCCGCTCTTCGCTTCAAAAAGGGGCACACCAAATGGAGCAAGTGGAAAAAAAGAAGAAAAAAATGGCACAACTTTTAAGAGGAACCTTGTATGCTATTTTCACGATCTAATA